TAGATCTGTAATCTACCTTAAAGTAGTCTGCAGCTTTTTGCATACTACTAAATGAGTCTGATATTAGTGCTAGAGTAGAGGCACTATAAGCCCATACTCTATTATTATTAAATTTTCTTAATGAAATTATTTCCAATAATTTTTCTAACTCTATAGTATCTAATTCATAGCTAAATATATAATTACCATTAATACCTCCTTTAATTCACTTATCAATATGATTAGTTGTAATTCTATCTTGTATATTTAATAGTTTAGCTACAGCACCTTTAGATTTAGGTGAAGTTTTAACTATAGAACCATCCGCTTCAATAACGTACATTCACACCTTTTTAGCTAAATTACTATCTAATTTTAAACCTTGAGTAACATGACTAATTAGTTTTTCTACTAGATCAAAGGATTCTATATTTTTGGTTAAAAACAAATTGAGGCTTCGCACTTCGCACTTCGCACTTCGCACTTCGCACTGAAAGGTACGTATGTATTTAAATATATACTCAAGGTTTCTCTAGCTACACCTAAATATTTGATAGCTCATTAATACTATTAAATGTTTTATAATTTGTATCTAGTTTACCATTAGCATACTCATAAAGATAAATATAAATACCTTGATATTTATTATCATAATCTGGTTCTAATTGTCTAAGTTTTAAATTATCGTATAAAGAATCATAATTCTGACTATCACTTAAATTACTTTTAAATATAGTATTTAATAAGGGTAAGTATTTTTGTAAAAAATAATTTTCTCTTTCTTCTTGCATTTCGAGATCACAAGTTTCAATTACTGAAAATTAAATTTTATTTCAACCGATCCCTAGGTCGCCCGGAGGGCGAAGAATTAGCAAATACATGAAATCTATCTTTCAAGTTAATATTAATATGGCTTTTAAATCTCTTTGTCTTTAGCTCTACGAGCTTGCGCCGTTTCATTAGTGGACCTCTGTCGAGGTCCACAACATGAAACCTATATAAAAAATATTAGGATTATCTTTAAAAGTAAACATATTATATGTAAGTAATAAGTTTTAAGTATTAAGTCTTAAATTTTATTTGTAGCTCCTTCTATTTTTATATTTATATTAAAAATATAAAAATTTGTTTTATATATATATATATAATAAATATCGCGGAGTAAAACCTAACTAAAATTCTACTTCTCTAATGCAAATTAAACGATTTTCCTTTACCCATAAAAAAGATTTACCGTCCTCTAATCTTTTCAAAATCATATAACGTGACAAACCTAAAAATTCCATTACAGCAGCAATCGACACACATGTATTAATAACATTACCTTTTATATCAATAATTTCTATATTTACATTTTTTCTATAAGTAAGTCATTTATTTTCTGATATAATTAAGGTTTTCCCTCCCACTCTTTTATAGTTAGAGGGACCTTCTAACATTATTTTAGCCTGCGAAATCAAAAGCTCTCTATTTATTTTGGGGCCACTTCCTACCGAGGTTGAAAGTCTATTATTATTCATCTGTTTTAAAAACGAATCTATTAAATATTTTCCCTTTTCAGTATGATGATAACCTTGTTCTTTCAACTTAAATACTAAAGTAAAATCCTCAAAATCTAAGAATTTTTTACTGTGTCATGTCATAGAGCAAAAAAAAGGAATAATAACGGATTTTATTATATCATTATTAACAATTACTAAATTAGTAAAAGAGTTTTTTCCTTCGGCGGAATCCTTATTGGTTACTTCCGAAGATTCAGACAAAATTCACGCCTTAGACTCCTGAATCATTATACTAGTTTTCTCCATTATTTATAGGTCAACCCTAGGTAATTCATATAAAAAATCACAAATTTTATACATTAAATCTAAATCCCTTGAATGTTGAACTATAGCAAAATTAAGCTGGTAATTTTTTCTTCTAATAAAGAATGAACCATCACCCTCTACAAAACCTAATAATCAACCTGGAGTTATTCGATATTTGTGCTCAGAAGGCATATTAAATCAGGTTCTACTTTTATTCATACCTTTTTTAATATAAGAAATTTTTTCAATTAGCTCTGGAGTTTTTTCTTTAGAGTTAGTATAAAATTCAAACGCTCTTTTAAAATCTGAAAAATCAAGATATTTTTTTGTGTTCAAAGAATTTTTAGATAGAATGTCTATTATTTTTACTATATCTTTTTGAGCTCTTATAGTAAAAACAGCTTTGCTTCCTCTATCTCTAATTTCTCCTATTCCTAATTTTTCCTGAATAAAAACCAATGTACTTATATCGTCAATATGCAAGGTAATTTGAAAGTTAAATCTATACCCCTACGGGGTATCCCGTCAGGGATACCCTGAAGGGTATCCCCTCTGGGGATAAGAATGTCCATTATTCATGGATTCTATATAAAAATTTCCTTCGCTATCTATAAACCCACATAATCACTCTATAAACTCTTCATTAATTGGGTTGGCTACACATAAAGTTGAATTGTACCTACAAATACCGTAGATTCCTTGCATATCACATCATGCAAAGCGGCTAGACTTTACACTCACTTTTTTACTACTTGAACTAAAACAATTAACAGATGTGTATAATAAGGATTA